GAAAAATGCATATAAAGAATAAATAAAATAAGAATAAAGAAGAGAAGTAAAAGACATCGTACCATCCGCTCCAAAATCTGGCTTAAAGCTTTTCTTCTCCTTGAAGTTTTTAAAGACCTTTACCGTCGTATTTCCCTCTCTTACTGCATATTGGCTTGAATCTGCTGCCCACACGAATTCCGACGCCTGTCCAAATGCTTTGTTTCTCAACGCCATTGATGTGTATATAATGTATTCTCCATCGCCACAAACCACCAGGAATCGCCCATTTGGATTGTGCTGTATGGTCTGTGGATATATCTCGCAAGCACCCATGTCTTTGACGGCTAACGGTAGTCGTTCTCCATCTTGTGCCTCCTCACCTAACGCCTTTAAGTTCACTTGCTGGATTTCGCTATGACGTGCCCATACAATCTTGCCACCCAATGAATCCATCGAAACAGCTGGTTCTTCTCGGCCGACTTTAACCATAACGCTACCTTCATCGTATCCGATGGCAACATTGTTCGAACCTCGCATGCATGCTATGGTCCATACTCTCTCAAAGCCATAGTTAAGAGAAGATTCCAATCTATACATTCCTGCATGCCATATTCTAACGGTACCATCCTCCGAGGCTGTGAGAAAGATTGGCAATTCTGGATGGAAACATACCGCGGAAATATTTTGCGTGTGACCTCCTAAAGTCTGTACGCAGGTCTTGTTTTGATAATCCCATATCTTGACGTATCTGTCATCAGCTCCTGAGATTAGGTACGGTTTGTCGCCACCATGGTAATAATCTACACAATTGACACCTTTCTCGTGACCTTCTAAGGTAAAATTAGCTGTGGATGAACCAAGCTGCCACACTTTGACAGTTCTGTCGAGGGAAGCACTTGCAAAAGTATTGTTGTCCTTTGGATTAAATACAATCTGCATGACATAGTGAGTGTGTCCCTCAAATACTTGTTGGCAGATCCAGGACTTCTCCCAATTCCACAATTTTATCCACATATCATCTACAAAGAAAAATCATTGCTACATTATATATTATATATGAATAAATTTAGCTTTTCAGTAGGTGGGATGGCTATAACATCTCAGATATAATTTTCTTTAAAACCTTGTTCTGGAAAATAAAAATAAAAAGTATTACCCAAAAGTTTTGAAGTTCATTATTTTTATTTCCCTCTATTTCATAAAGATCTAATTAATATAAATTTAACTGTAACAGAATATATACTAAAAAATATAACTACAAAATTAAAAATTTTGTTGAGAAATGTTCTGAGTACTTCACCTATTAATTTGAATATCTTTAATAAATCATTTTAATGCCTATATGTACCAATTTAGTACTTAATTTTAATCTTGGTTCTAGTTATAAGATTTAGAAAAAGATGAATAAGTTAAATTGAGATTAAAATTAATTTATATTAATAGAAGTAGACATAAACTATTTAATTACTTAATCTTATTAAAAATTTAACAAAGTCTTTTAACTTACCACTGCTTGTAAGTATGAATGGCTGCGTCGGATGCACGGCTATACATCTGACATAATCGCTGTGCGCCTCAAACGAGTGAACGCGTTCTAAGGTGTTATAATTAAATATTCTGATCTGCATGTCATCAGAGCCAGTGATAACCCAGTTCTTACGCGGCACGAACTTTGCTGTCCGTACCGGCAAGTCGCACACCTCAAATGTCTTCACCAGGGTCTGCGTTTCATGGTTCCAGATATTGACGTGGCCTTGGTATAGTGAGCAGAGCATCCATGGTTCAGTCGGGTGGAGATCCACACTCTTCACTCTGTCTGATCTGGCCGTCAGCTTCCGCTTGATGTCTAATCTTAGAGGCTAAGCAGAAGATCTTTGATTTACAATTCGTTAAGTTTCATACTGTATTTTTTGCTGTCATCAAGATTTTTTCATTCTACAGTAGTTTTCATTTTAAACGTATGCATGTTACGTTTGTAAGATTCGCATTTAGAGAATTTATTCTTCTCATGAAATTCACACAGAAAAATAAGATATTTCTAATTACGCTATGCGGATGGATTTTTTATTATCCTGAGAAGGGAATGGATTTTGACATGTCCCGAGAACAAATGTCAACGCGACAACACACGACGTATTGTTACTCTGGTAATGTTGCGCATTGACTCGGTTTTCTTGTGTACATAGTCTTGCGTTGTTTTTCTTTTTTACGTACCATCTTGTTGCCGTTGATTATTCACGATCCACTATTTCAAATGCTAAATTATCGCTGTGGCTGCATTAACAAGGCTCTAAACACGATATTCCTGCCATGAAATTAGGACGTGGCCGATGCCGCGAACGAATATGGCGCCCGCACACGGCAAATGATATTACTCGTCGAATAAAAAAAAAAAGAATTTATCTTTCGAGCACATGATATCATCAGACCGCGAAAGAGAAATCTGAGAGTTTGTGACACCTGCACTAACGAATCGAGATGCTGAAGCTGCCTATATTACCGATAAAATGTTTTTGATGGTTTTGTTCCTGTTAATTTCTTGTACACCCAGATAACATCACATGCCAGCATGCTCTGTGCTTAGTATATCATGCACCCAGATAACATTACATGCCAGCATGCTGTGCTTAGCATATCATGCAGTTGAAATGCAATTCCTGTGTCATCTTGTATCGATAAAGCAGATAATGCTTGCATGGCGCTATCATAGCGTGCAATTTGAAACATATTTTGAAATGGCACGCAGTGATAATGCCAAGCAAGCATTATGTCAGTACACTGTGTACATTAATTCGTGTGTCGTATGTGCAGATGTCTTAACCTCTCATCCTTGATGTATGATAGTATTGTCAGATCACTCGAGCGGATCGGACGTGTTCCCTCTCGTCTCGGGTGTTGCGTCACCTCGACTATATTTTGCCGTTGTATTTCAATTTCGATAGTCCCTTTATCCTATAGATATTTTAAGTAAGGTTGTACATTAATAAATAATGTACTTTATACTGCAACGTAACATATTTGGAGTAAAAACAATTTTTATTAAATGGTTATTTATATTAATTATAGGTTATGATTGTTTTATTTGCAAACACCAGTGTATACTTTGCTTTCGTGGAAAAATATTAAATGTATTTACGTTTTTCCGTAAAAGCAAAGTTATACATTATATTTGCAAATAAAATAATTGTAACTTAACCCTAAAAATTGTAACATAACCTAAAATATATAAGCAAAAATCGCTTTTCAAAAAGATTTGCGTACTAGCATTATGACAACATTTTGAAATACAAAATGCTTGCACAGTGTTTGCACAGCATGTTGAACATGATATGCCGTCACAGTGCTAACCAGATGCAGAGTCAGCTGGACATCATAGTGGTAGCATGCCATTGAAGCGTACATGCATTATACCAGCATTAAGCAAACATTTTGTTATCTGGGTATGGATATATTACATACTGGATTTATACATATATCAAAAGATAAAAAGTATTCAATACTATTAAGAAACCAAAAATAAATTAACTGTTCAAGTACAACTAGTCAAATATAAGTATTTGTTCATAAGTACTGAATATATGATAAACTGGCTGTATTCAGCCAAAAAAGAAGCTTTGCAACTGTTGTAAAATTCTTGAATATGATTATACATTTAGATCCAATGAGGAACTAAGGGCAAGACCAATCATATTGAAGAATTTTACATCAGTTGCAAAACTGCTTTCTCTGTTGAATGCAACCAATAGGCCTGTTCTTTTTGGCTGAACTTTTGCACCAGTTCACCTTTCTTCCTCTTCTTTCCTTCCGGATAGAAAAGGAAAAAAGATGAACTGGTGCAAAAGTTCAGCCAAAAAGAACAGGCCTAATGGGTGTGTTCAGCAGAACACAACAGTTGTACAACCGTTTTATGATTGTCTGCTGAACGTTCCTAAATGCACCCAACGTCTCAACATGTTTACTCAGCGGTCGCCATGATTTCCAGCGAACTAAAAGTACGCTGAGTCGCGACTCGCGAGCAAAACATGTTGAGCAAAATGGCTGCCTCCAGTGTAGAAAACACCATGGAAAACAGCACGTGTTTATTTGAAGGACAGTATGATCCGTATTCAGAACGCGCTTACAATGATGTTAGCGCGCTAACATACTATACTTTACGTTACGTATATTATAGAATTTCAGAGATAAATATGCGCTTTTATCGATAAAAGCGCGTTCTGAATACGGACCTATGTGTATAAAAGTGCTACATACAATATTGTTGATACGTGGGACATTCACCAGAAATTACAAAACGGTACGTATAAATATTAATATAAGGAAATTAAATCATGTTTAATTATTTGTGTTTGCATTACGATTACTACCTTACCCTAACCTCTTTGGCTTTCAGTACAAGATTTCGGTTTTTTGAAAGAATCTTTGACTTATCTTTTATAAGATAAATTCAGAAAAATTGAGAGTAAAAATAGCTGATGTTTTTTTCTGTTTGCTGCAACAATTCAAAAGTCAAAAATTTGCCCAAAAAGCCGAAATCTCCAGCCGAAAACCGAAGAACCGTGATTCGCATATATGTAGTTATTTCTGTATAATTATGTTTTATATATTTGTAAATTTATTGTTGTCTTGTTAAATTTATTTTCAGTTGATTAGTTCAATAAATATATATCAAATATTGTAATGTTATTGTTGTGTTTAATAATGCTGATATAAACTTTATTTTTCTAGATAAAAGCTTAAAAAATAAATATTTCGAACAAAATTCTTCGTCTCTGGAAATTACAAGCATTAATGATATGCCCTCAATATCAGGAGAAGGTATGTATACAAATTTATAGTAATGTACAAGAGATTGGATAATTTTTTTTAACAGAATAAAGTTAGAATTAACTTTATTGAAAATTTAACTTAGTTAAAGTACAAGTTAATCCATAATGAAATTAATTAAAGATTAATTAATGTAAAATTAATTTTACATATTCTAAATATTAATTTATTATTCCAAAATATTCATTTCAAGACAAATGGAAAATTTTCTACAGGATACGTCCTGTGAGACATCTCAAGGTATATATATTTTACATTTATTATGTATATATAAATGTGCATGCATGTACACCCCCCCCTCCACACACACACACACACACACGCGCGCGCTTAAAGGTACTCGGGTAGTGTTTTCCCGTAATCTTATTCTTTAAAAGATATAAAAATATAAACATTATAAAATTCAGATTAAATAATATTAATGACATAATCTTACATTAAGAAGAAATACGTGTAAAACAGAATGAACAAATTTCCTGAATATTTTAAAGGCCTGTGCATAAAAAATACTAGGGACAAAGATAAATATTATGATTTTAATCTGTCATATTAGAAATCATATGTTCAGGTGTTATCAATTTCTGATAGATTGAAATTTTTATATTTATGCCCCCTCCTCCTGTTTCTAATATTTCTTTCATTATACATAGACCCTAAGGTAGAGAAAAATAGCATCAGATAGACAAAGTATTAAAAAAAATCTGTTCACATTATCTGTTTACACTCACTTATTATTAATGTAAAATATATTGTAATATAATGTAAAGAACGTTCTACAATGAGTTCCAAACATCTCGTTGTCAATCGCAAAGCTTCACAGCTAATTGGGAATCCTTTGCGACTGGTAACGGGATATTTGCAACTTATTGTTGATTGTTCTTAATTTTAATTTTACACTTTATCTAATTTTATGTTTTAAAAAATAAGATTGCATTTGGATACACTACCTGTGTGCTCCAAGTATCAATTTATCTTTGTTTAATATTTGATGAAAGACAAAGATACGAGTATGTTCTTTTTTGGCAGAATCACTAGCGGCCTTACTCGTATAATTAGATTTTTTTTATTAATTTCTTTATTCTGTTATTCAAAGTCTCAAAAATAAAATCCAACGGGTAGTCATTTTCTAATAAAATATTGATTATGAAATTTAGATTTCTTTTGTGGAACTCTGGATGTGAAAGATAAAACACTCTGTCAATCAAATTAAAAATTATGCCTTTCTTTGAGATCGGGTGCTGAGACCAATAATTCAAAAATCTTCTCGAAAAGGTGGGTTTACTATACCAGTCAAAAATTAGTACGTCATTCTTAATAATAATTGTAGTGTCCAAAAAACTAATGGTATCACCCCCCCACCTCTCTCGTGAATTAAAGCCTCGGATGAAATGAGTTAAATCTCTCTAAAATGCCCTCCATCTCAGACGTAGGTAAGTAAAGTGCTATATCCACGTACCTATAGTAGAAAAGCAATGGAAATTTAATGGTGCTCAGTACACGACTCTCCAAATCCTGCATCACTAACAAGTAACACTAGGGAAGTGATAATCACCGATTATTCTGTAACTGCGCATATAAGTAGTTC